AAAACCTTTGACTGGTAATGTAGGGTGGCTGATTATTGTTATAGATTGAAACAAATGTGCTTCAGCCAGGATAAAGAATATGAAAAGTGCTCTGAGTTGCTGCAGAAAAAAAAGAGCAACAACAAAAACATGTTGCTGGAGACGGGCTTATTGAAAATTGAAAAACTGATTGTCTGCCAGCAGGAGGCGCTTTGAGAGCGGTAGAACTTGGCTGTAATCAAAGCAGCTTCGCTCATGAATGCTACTTTATCAGATCAAATGAAAATGTCATCGAAACTTTTCTGAAGACAGTCGGTTCCCTTCAGAGATACATTCATATAAAACACCCGCACCACGTTTTGATTTTGAAACGTGCAGTGCTCATGTTTATTCAACGAAGTCAAACGCCACAAATACATCAATGTATGGGAAACTGGTAATGTATATCGAAATATCGGAAATGTGTTTAAAAATCATATCACCGTTATTGAAAAGAATTATATTGCGATACATATTGATATTGAATTATTGTCCAGCCCTATTCCACACATAAACTGTCTGGGATGTTATGGTGCTATCACCTCTTCCACATTCATCTGGGATCTTAGACTCACCAGGTCAACGTAGTTCTGTCTGCAGTAGTTCAGGGCTTCATCCCACGTCTTATTCTGATGCACCAGAATGGGCTCAAAGACCTCCATACAGTAGAATGGTAGAGGCCAAGAGCACAGAGCATTGTGCAGTTTAGCATTAGATCTTTGTCAATGCCACACTCTTCAGTGACACTGTTTGGTTCCCAAATGTCCCAATAGTCTATTTTTTGATCCTCACCTCCAGACCAACTCTTTTCTAGGTTGTTAGAAATCATGTGCAGTCGGGAAAGGCCCATGAGCTGGGACTTGAACTCGGGATGCCCAAAGCGCAACAGCCCTATTTCGGTGCACTGCCCACAAGGCTATTGGCAGCAAGAATTTTTTTTTTTAGAATTTATGTAATAAATACTATGCATTCCTCAAGTGTTTTTTTTTTTCCGAGGAACACTATTTACATTTACATTGTCCCATCTTGTTGCCTCTTCACTGCCTTTGCATTCGCTCAGCATAAATGTCGTGGTCAGGCTTTTAGTATTTGAGTAACAAATGTTTACAGAACCCTCACACTTGCACATCCAGGCAAATCTGCTGATCAATTCAAGCAAATACAAGACTAACAAACACCAGATTGTATGAAATCCTGATTTATGACACTCATCGAAATGCAGTTAGGACTTTTAAATCTGGGTTATGTAGCTCAGACAGGAGAAAAATATGATCTCTTATATTATGAGCTGTCCTGTAACAGACTCAGATTCAACTAGCTGATATTCAGAGAAGTGTGAAATCAATCATTTGAAATGAAATAATAAAGAATAATAAACTTTAGCAGCATTAACCATGAGCCTCAAAGAAGAGGAGTTATCGTCTGTATAAGGAAAAGATGTGAGACCTATTACAGTAGGCGGAGACAATTTAAGCATTTCCTGTAGAGTCAATAAGAGGAAGTAGATGTTCAGAACAGATTGAGCTTTGCTGAGGACCAACTTAATGCATTGAGCTTTTCATGTAATTTACATTAGCAATACTAATAACTTGTTCAATAAAAAGATACATTACAAAAGCATAATTCAGGAAACAGAGAAGACTTAAAACAAATCTGTTGGTTAGTATAAAATGTATTTATACATTTACTATTATGTGTCATTGTTGCACATAATTTAGATTCAGAACAGAAAGCTTAGATTATGCCTAAAGAAGTTACACAATAGCATGTGTTGTTTGCTTTTGAATGTTTGTGTATCAAAGTTTAGATGTTTTCCAACCACAAGATTGACCCTCTTTCACAGCAACAAAACCACATGATCTACCAAGCAGTATTCTCACGAGACTTTAACAAACGCTCCTCCTTCTTCACAACAAACTGTGACGGTTATGGAAATAACAGAACTAAGCTTCAAAGCTGTCTAAAATAATGTGAGAACAAATCAATTTTGTTGCACACAGCTGTAGTTGAGATTTGTGTGTATTGACAACATTAATTGTGTACACGGTATATAATAACAAACATTACAGATCAATTATAGATTAGACTTTTAAATTAAGATTTTGTATTTTTCTGGG